GCAATCACCTTGTCCACACAACTCAACAAGTTGATGCCATTAACATTTATTTTTGACATTTGCATGCATGGCTCGAGGGATGAGCTGTACAGCAATACGCCAAGAGAGGACGAATGTCCCGACAGAATAGGAAACACTGATTGAAATAAAAATAAAAACTTTAGTGGTCGGCACCGCGTCAATTGTCATCGTGTGGGATTGGGTGCATGTTATGTAAGGCGTGATGATGCACCACGCATGTAGGTGTCGTAGACCTTCAGAGTCAGACGAAGAGTAGAAACACAGAGGTCAGAAATATCAAGTGATGTCATCCCGAGTGCGGTAAGATGTTTGGCTGAGGTGGAACATATCATCCCTCGATTATTGATAACGACGGGGTGGTGAACAATATTTGTCGTCTCAGGAAACTGTTCACGTATGTATCGCGATATGGCTGCGGCATTCTTCCCTGATCCGTACTTATCCACTTTCAGTTTATAAGTACAATCCATTCGGTACGCGTCACAGATGGCCACATCCACATTGTGAACCGTAGAATTTCTAACCGCAAGCAGGTCTGGCTTGATGAAGGAGGTGGCTGTCGGAATCCTCGGCTCCATAACAATGTTAATGCTTCGGCGCCGCAATTGCCTGGCAATCTGTTGGGCAATTTCACTGTGACGTTTACAGCGGACATCATGCGTGATGCAGCACGCCTGAAGAACATGTGACAGAGTCTCTTTTTGTCCGCAGCTCCCGCGGCAGTTGAGAGAAGCCAGGTCATTTGTAGATCTGCCTCTGCTCCGTCGCGTTTTGGTAGAAAGAACACCCCCCGTAGTTGGACACCCCGTATGAAAAGACGTGGAAAAATCCTGGTGGGGTCCCTCAGCCAGTGGTGAGCGGAAGGTGACGTGACCACATTTCACATGGGAGATTCATCCACTGAAGCAAAAAAAGCATCTCTCCAGGCTTCCGCAGCTGAGCTTTTATCCATGACGACGCGATTACCGATGTTAACAGTGGAGCGCGCTAGACGATGGATGGCAGCGGCTGCAGGGTCCCGTCGCCAAATGGTCACTGGATGGCAGTTGGCTAGGTGTTGTTCCAGCCTCTCCTTCCGTAGCAGGGGAATACTCGTAGACAGACACGGAATACCCAAACCAAAGCTCGCAATGTGAGCGTGAAGATATGCGATGGAGGTGTCTGACGGCAAGCTCAGCCATTTTCTGACGTGTGATCTGACAATGCGATCCTACCGCTTCAATGTATTCCGGTGAACCACTGCCATATATATATATATATATATATATATATATATATATATATATATATATATAAATTTCTCATATAAATATCTAGTGGGCCATGGGCTAGGTCCTTTGGGGCCACTACAGAAGCGACGACGGGTCCTGCAGAGAATTACGGCGAGCCGGCGCAGCGTTTGTAGGCACGCTGAATTCGATTTACTAACCGCGTGCTTGCATGCTAAGTCTCTTTATTTCAGGTGGTGGGTTTACAGTTTTTACCTTAATGCTTTTCTTTCTCATATAAATATCTCCCTCTACTCTATTCCATTAACTTGCACACATCGCTTCAGCCAATTGTATTCGATTTCCATAACATTTTTGTGTTCGTGGCATACCGCGAACTATACTTCCTGACCTCGTGCACTTAGCTAGGATGTGTTTGTAAACAACTTATTACGTATGCTATTTAATTAAGGTTTATGTCACCGTTTCCTTATGCATTAATCGAGTTTTTCTCTTTTTCTTTCTCTCTCTCAAGTGATTGGCTGTTGTTTGATATCCCCGGTGTGGCTGCGCTTGATGTGCATGTTGACAAGGTGCCTACCTGTCTATTACCCACTACCTCGTCCATACTGGCTCCAGGAGACAGTTGGTCGTTGCTGGAGGGGACAGGGTGCACGGTCCTTGTGGCCGTGTTAGGAACAAAGAGTGGTTCCATGCACTCAGTGTGGAGCGGACTACGGTCCTGCCATCGCCTTGTGTGCGCTTGATTCCCCAAATACAGTGTGCTTGTGTTTGCCTGTGAAGGAGTGTGGGCCGGCTCCGTTGATGAAACGTGGCTCCCATCCTCATGCCTCCCGGTCTTATTCCTTCGGGTTTACACTGGATATGGGGTGTGTGGTTGGAGCTGTGGTTGGTGCAGCGCAAGCCATCCATGGTCCCTCTGTAGGCGCAGGCGTCCTGTGGCTTGCCACAGTGCCAGGCAAATCCGAAACCGGATGCCGCCAACCATATATATATATATATATATATATATATATATATATATATATATATAAGCATGCCTTCACCTGAAGTGTAATCTACAGAGGTGCCACGAATCAGTATGGGTGCCGAAGTATTAGAAATCACGTCTCGCTTCTGCTACCTTGGGAGTGAGATGTCCACTAACCAGCAGCTACATAGTGAGCTGCGTATCCGCGTCGCGAAGACAGCTGCGGCATTCGGGAAGCTTGAGTACCGAGTGTAGAACAACCACCAGCTTACCGTTGACACGAAGCTGTTGCTGTAGAAATCCATGGTGCTGTCCGTTCTTCCATACGGCAGTGAAACGTGGACGATGTACCAGCGGGATGTGCGATATCTAGAGTGGTTTCATAAACAGTGTTTGCGACGGATTTTGCACATCGGTTGGGGTGACAGAGTTGCAGACACGGAGGCGTCACGCCGAAGTGGGATGAATGCAGTGGACTGCATATTTTGCTGACATCTGAGGTGGCTGGGTCATATGTGGCGTATGGATTCGACGCGGATATCGAAGCAGCTGCTAAATGGTCAGCTGAGTTTAGGAAAACGGCATGCGGGGAAACGGAAGGTTCGTTACCATGACATGATCAAAATGAGCCTCTCACGTTCTGATCTTGATTGCAGGTCATGGGAATCGAAGGCGGTTGATCGGCCTGCATAGCGCGATCTGATCACGAAGGTTGTTGTCGAGGTGCAGGAGAAAGCACTCATGCATGCGGAGAAGCGACAAGTGCGAAAGCAGGAAGCACCGATGGGTGGTACTCCATCGACGTCCAGCGCATGGTGCTGTAGCACATGCGGTCGCGAGTGCCTGAGTCAAGCAGGCTTAGTGAGCAATGAGCGAGGCCACTCGGGGCCACCACAGGAACGACGACGTGTCCCGCTGAGAACGTAGGCAGAACCAGCGCAGCGTTTGTAGGTATGCTGCATTCGATTTACTAACCGCGTGCTTGCATTCTGATTCATTATTTCAGGTGATTGGTTTAAAATGTTTTGGAAAACTGGTAGCTCGGGTTGATAATTCAGTTGCTCATTTGTTCGCCGAGCTGCGAAATTGGTTTGCAAACGTTTCACCGTCATGCGAGACGGCATCATCAGTGCGTCGGGATGTGTAGCGTAACCTCGCTGATTGGTGTGTTATATTGTCCCAATGCTTTTTTATCTTATATTAATGTCTACGTGAACTACCTTCTATAAACTTGCACACGTCCCTTAAACTAATTTAGTTAACTTCGATAACATCTTCGCGTTTGCGGCATTTCCTTGAAAGATATATATATATATATATATATATATATATATATATATATATATATGTATGTTTGGCTGTTGTTTGATATCCCCGGTGTGGATGCGCTTGATGTGCATGTTGACAAAGTGCCTACCTGTCTATTACCCACTACCTCGTCCATACTGGCTCCAGGAGACAGTTGGTCGTTGCTGGAGGGGACAGGGTGCACGGTCCTTGTGGCCGTGTTAGGAACAAAGAGTGGTTCCACGCACTCAGTGTGGAGCGGACTACGGTCCAGCCACTGCCTTGTGTCCGCTTGATTCCCAAATACAGTGTGCTTGTGTTTGCCTGTGAAGGAGTGTGGGCCGGCTCCGTTGATGAAACGTGGTTCCCATCCGCATGCCTCCCGGTCTTACTCCTTTGGGTTTACACTGGATATGGGGTATGTGGTTGGAGCTGTGGGTGGTGCAGCGCAAGCCATCCATGGTCCCTCTGTAGGCGCAGGCGTCCTGTGGCTGACCACGGTGACCACGGTGATATATATATATATATATATATATATATATATATATATATATATATATATATATATATATATATATATATATATATATATATATATATATATATATATATATATATATATATATATATATATATATATATATATATGGGCGTATGTGTGTGTAAATACAGATATTTAGCTTGCAAATTGGATTACTGCGGTAAAGATCTACAAAAGCAGATCACTTCAAGCCCAATCAAGTCATAGACATGTGTGATGCAAGAGTCCTTTGGAGATGGGATACAATGATGCCACGAAACATCAGTCGCAAAATGTTACATTTTTGTCTAGCAAAATAATCGGGGACAGAAGCTACGCTGAAACCACTGAGGTTGATGGCATTACGCATTGTTGCTTGGCATGGCTAGGTGCCGACTTCAGTGGTTTTTTGTGTTGTGTACTTCTTTGTCCCTCCCCATCCAACTACGATCTGACTCATAGTATGGCTTCTTTTTGCGGCACAATAGCTGATCGCTAGCTCCCTGGAATGATGTTCATCCGTTAGTGGTTGCTCGCCTAGCGTGCCCGTGTTATCTTTCTTTCCTCTCTTATTTGTTACGGCACAATAGCTTAGGTGTATAATGATATCGTTGCTCTCGTTTCTTGGTTTAACTGGGTGGCCGACTGTCGTGCTAAACAGAACACCCTATCGGCGACGGCGCGCATACGTGCATCAGCGCAAGGATCTAATTGTAAAACTGCGCACTTAATGGAGATCTAATGAGTCCATATGCGTTGCATGTAAGCCGTAGACATTACGACTTTATTTTCGTGGGATCTATCGCAGAAACGTGCTTTTCGCAGCGGGATAACTGTGAAAAATGTTGACGGAATCAAACAGTATCATGACAGCTTGTTATAAACATGAAACTGCAAGCAGGTAGCTGAGTCACAACTGAGAGGAAGGAGAGCAGTATGATGAAATGTACTCCACTATATAATGAAGACTAACCTTTTTTCTTCTCCTTTCGTTTTGCGTTGCTCCCGTCCTGACCCAAGCTGAACCATCCGGATTTTGAAGTTCTGTCTCGCCGTGACCTCTGGTGAAATGTAATGAAATTCCACACCATATACGCTTGCGAAATGAATAGGAAGGCCAGCGCAGACATCCTGAAACCAACGTGAAGATGAAAGTGTTTTTATTGTTGTATCTTGAGGGATGGCAAGCTTTCCCCTGGGCCCAAAATAATGAACAGTTAATATCTGGTCTGGCTGTTCCCTTGGCTTTCTAGTATCATTAGCAGTAGAAACATTAGGCAGCCCGTTAAGCACTAAACTGGGTGTTCTGGCGAGGCTAAAATGAGACGCACCAAGATGGGTTACACAGCTGGCCAGTGGCCGATCGGTTAAGACGTTTGACACATAATACGCAAGTCACCGATTCGAACCTGCGGGTGATACCGCAGTATTTCTAGCTCACACGTGACTGCTGATGGTCGCTTGGCGGCGAAACGTCGGTAAGACGTGTCGGCGTACTGCTAACGCTTTCTAAAATTGGTTACAAGAGCTTGCACAGGACGTTGTTCAATACCGCCATGTGAATGAGGAGCATACTTTGTCCGATTGGGAATGAGAAGGATTAAACCTAACAAACAATTGGGATAAATGTAGGAGATAAGTTCGACCGTCTTTCAAGCGGACTCACGCGAAGGTACCTGATGGGATCAGTGTAAAATGAGGCAAGAAATTCGTAAATTCAAGGATTGCTCAGGAAACATGCACCCGTACGGATGCACTCGAATGGAATTTATTTTTCTGACCAAATCGATTGATAGATGCGACCGTATTATGATCACTAGGGTTTCTGACTCCCGTAATCAGGCTCGTCACGACCTTAAAAGCCGAGTAACCGGGGACACGACGCTGCTGCTATCATCCGCAAGTTAAGAAAAAGGAGCTCCTATGGATCATATGTGAGGAAGGAGTGCTAATCAACGCGCGGTACCGTTTGTCGATGTCTGAGTTGGTGTTGCTAACTACCGTGAAAAGACGGTAGGTAGAAGTTAATTGCTAGGTGATGCAACTTCCCATATGAATGGAACAATTATTATTGAGGACAGAAAAAATTAAACAACTGCCTAAGCTCACGCTTGGATAATCTACATAATCCTGAGGGTTCCGAAATGAATTGGAAAGCAGTGACTGTTTTCGTAAGCTAGGTGTCGACATTCAGCATCGCAATTCGGATGAGCACTTCAATGGCGATACGATTACGACAGGCATCTATTAGCGTAATAAGATAGAGTGGGGTGCCCATATTCGCTGGGATAGGCGTTTACATAGAAATCCGAATATAAGGAAGTTTCATGTGAGACGCATGAACCATTTGAAGTAATGTGATCTTTTGAGTACTTCGACGATTCACTGAACCATACTGAGTGACTTGCGTACTATGGAAGCCGTTTCTATCGGAACAACTACTGGCTACAGGCCAGGCAAACATCGGAGCTGAAATCAAGATAGCACCCGCTCGCTAAAACGGTGCACTTCGTGGGCCGCTTCCGCATTCCAGAATTTTAATATTAGGATTTTAGTAAGAGACTTTGATTTATGCCTTTACTCTTTTTCCGTCTAAGTCAAGCTACCCTGGTAATAGGCAAATTCACACACAACTACGGCTATCACCTCAAAGTTCATCCTGCCTGCGCCGTCATGCAGCTACGGAAACATTGCCATATCTATTGCGTACAGAGTGATGAATAAACAAAAGCCAATTATTGTTGACGCCTCACTTGCTTTTCATCTAATTCGTTTATTACCGTTGGAAACCCCCTTTTCGTGGTTCCTGGAACGAATGAAGTCAGGTGCAGTGTTACTGAAGTTTTGAAATCCGCATTCGTGTGGACGCTTGACAACGTAAATTAGGCCACGAAGAATCTTCAAGGGATCATCAGTCGTTACTACTCATGCTCCGACTGACCGAAGTATTCATCAGTATACACGTTAGCTGCAGGTGAAAAACACCTTGTGTCGCAATACAAAAAGAAAAAAAACATGAATACTGAGAATAGAGAGCGAGAAGATGAAAATCTGTATTGCTCCATCGTACGTTCATCGCGCGTGGAATCACGTCGCTGATTCATGCGCGGCGGCATCATATTGCAGCTGCACTACATGTTGTCCGGGTGCGATACGCTCCCTGTACTTGTAGTCTGCAAAGTGGGTATCAAGGAATCTCTTAAATTCCGACACCAATTTCGCCTAGACTAGCATCTCCGGCAATTTGTTCCAATATTTCACCAATCGACGCGCGAAGCATAGGGGGCGAGCGATGTGCTTCAAATCCGGTACCACTAGTTTGTACCGGTGTCCGCGTGTGCTGCTTGGTGCGCGAACGTGTAGCAGCGGCCTCAACATAGCGAAGTGGCTAAGGTGCAGATCCGGTGCGTCATAATAAGATCAACTTAAAGCCGACGATATGACAGGGTATAAAGCCATGGTCTCTTACATCGGTCCTCGTACGACATACTCCGTAAACTAGGGATGAGCCGGGTAGCTACGTGCTGGACCCGTTCCAATCTCTGCACCTCATTTATTGTGATCGGACAGTAGGCGGGTGAGTCGTACTCAAGTACCAGTCTTACCATGGAAGAGAACAGACGGGTGCCAATCTCTTCAGACCAAGTGCAGAAGCTGCGTCTAAGTGCACAAAGCAGGCGTAGTTCGTCTCCGTACAGTCTGTTTATGTTGTCGACAGGTTTCAGATCACAGCGTGAGAGTACGCCTAGAGCCTTTACGGAACTGATGGGATGCAGCGGGCGGTCGGCCAGGGTGTACGCGCGCCCAATAATACCCCTCCCGAGGCTCATAAACGAGGAGTTGGCCGGGTTGATCGGTAGGTCAATTTCTGCAGACCACCGGGATAGGCGGTCGAGCTGCTGCTGAAGTACGTCACAGTCGCTGGGAGTATCAATAATCCTTCAAATTTTAAAGCCAACTGCAAATAATGCGCAGGGTGACCGAAGGTGAGCTAATTCATTGATGTGGATCAGGAACAAAATAGGCCCCAGTACTGTGCCTTGGGGTACGCCGCTAGTGGACGGGTACCATTCCGTTAGGTGGTCATCAACTTCAACGCGCCATCTCCCAGTAAGGAAGTCACTGATCCACTGATGCAGTGCGCCACCAACACGACACATCCTGAGCTAGTGCAGGACCTCATGGTTCACGTTATCGAAAGGTATACTAAAATCAATGTGAATAACATCCACTCCTGCCGCGTCAAAAGTAGGTTGGTGATGCACGAGCGACCCTTCATGAAGCCGTGCTGTGCCGAGGTTAGGAGATCTTTCGAATCCAGTAGCTAGCGATCTTTTTACACAATCTTCTCGAGCACCTTTGCCAAAACAGAGGTGAGACAAATCAAGCGGTAATTGTCCACATTGCGTGGGTCACCGGCTTTTGGAATTGCTCGGAGCAGAGGCACGCCGGCTGAATCACCGGTACCGGATGGACATCGTTCCGGAGAGGTAAAAGTCGGATATTGTGTCACAAAAAGTAGTTATATTGTGCCTAATAAATGAGACCAGCCGAAATATTGATGCAACCGAAACAATACCTGAGATCAACGCAGATGGATATATAATTGCTGGTGACATGGGTGTTCAAGCAGATCATATAAGTTGTTCAGAAGCTCCGTTGGGTGGCACGTACTATCATAATTATGAGCTCAAAGACCAACGGTAAGCATTTTCTGCTTAGGTGTACCAAACACCAGCCGCTTCTAAATGGCGTACGCTTCGTCTACCATATGTGCTGATACGTTACTTGCATCCCCAAAACCTTGCTCAGTTATGGCCACAAACATCACATTAAGATATACTGTCTGTTCCTGTTATGTTTGGAACAAGTGCCTTGATTTTGGTTATAACTGAGTCAGGTGCCGATATACTGACTTTGGCCAGGACGCGCAGCGAAGGATCACATTAATTTGCAACTGAACATAGTCACGAATGTAGAGGTATATTCAGAAATTTAAATAACTCCGCTACATTCCCACATGTAATGGACTGGTGGCATCCGTTTTCGGATTTGCCTGTCACTTTGGCCTCCACAGGGCAGCGACGGGACGCAAGTGCTTACGAAGAGATCATGGGTGGCTTGCGCTGCACTAACCACAGCTCCATTCACACATCCCATATCCAGTGTAAACCCGCAGGAATAAGACCGGAAGGCATGTGGATTGGAGCCACGGTTCTTAAACGGAGCCGGCCTACAATCCTTCAACATGTACAACAGCAACATTCATGTTTAACTTCCGAATCGTGCGTACCACACGTACACAAGGTGGTGGCTGGGCCGTAGCTGTTCCACACTGGATGGAACAACTCTTTGGGCCCAACACGGCCAGGAGGACCGCGCACCCCGCCCGTCCAGCAAAAATTAGCAATTTCCTGGGGCCAGTAATGGGGGGATTGACAGGCAGGCACCTTTTCGACATTTTTATCAAGCACAGCCATGCAATGCATTTCACAAGGGAGGTTTAATGTGTCAAGCACACGTCCCACAGACAATTAATCGAGTTTAGCCCTACTGCGACGACAAAACACTGCACATGCTTCATCAGACTTGATCTCGACAACTGCACAATGGCAGTGCGAATTCTATGCATCATGTACACTCACATGCATTTGTCCACACCTGTATATGAATTAACAAAAACTGGATGGAAAAATATAAACCCTACGGCTATTCATAACACAAATGAGTGGGATGGAATTGGAGGTAAAACTAACATTCATATTTATCAAGGTGTGGAAAGTCGCACGCGCAAGAATAAGTGTCCAATAAGAACCGTTGGAGGTTACTTAAGAATTGGACGAGAACCTAAGTGAAAGCCGTAAACTAAGTCAGAATCGTGAACACCAACAATGGATAGAGATAGATATGGATTAGTGAAACAAATGCCATCGATGCGGTTACCAGAAAGAATGAAAAACTGGTACAATAAGACAGTGATGACTTACCTTTAGTGGGTATTGTGTATGCAATCTCCTGTATGTGATGTTTGGCACAATGTGAGAACGCGACGGAGTGCTAACTGTGGTCTCTCCGTGCCGTAGCTGAAAATAGAACAGGTCCGATGGTCTCCTATCCGAGCTATGTTTGGA